AAAGAGAGAGAGATTTGGGAAGCTCTAAGCCAATGGGCTCTCAACCTTTCTAGACTACCATACCCCTTTCAGGAATCTGATTTGTCTTGAGTACCCTGAAATTACATCCCACCTAAAAATGACTTGCTTACAAAATCAGATTTAACATTTACATTTTTATCACAGCATGCTATTACTGAAAAATTGCTTCCGTTTTCATTTTTACCTTATAATTATAAATCAATTGGAATATAAATATTGTACTTACCTGTCAGTGTCTAGTACATAGAGCAGTATAAACAAGTCATTGTATGAATTTTTAGTGTGTCCTGACTTCCCGCTAGTGCTTTTTATGTAGCCTGTTGGAAAACGAGGCAAGTATCTAGATCAGTCAGTGAACCCCCTGATGCATCAACATGTACCCCGGTTGAGAAACACTGGCTAAGCATTTTCCCAAATGAATTTGCCTCCTGGTTTTTGGAAAGCATGGCATTTGTTTCACCAAATCCCATTAACTACACTAATGCTTGATGAGTGACAGGGTGAAATGACTATGACAAACTTCTGAAATCTATGTGAAAAGGCAGGACACGCTGCAGTTAGTGACTTTGTGCTGGTTAAATATTTGCTCTTCCAACTAAAAATCGGCTGTACCTGAGTATATGATAAAGACACAACCAAGTTGTTCAGATCTGAAATGTAGATATTTGTTCATCAAAAAGAAGGGTAGGTGGGGATTTTACAAACCTCACATGAGCAGAAACCTTCCAAGAGTTTTCCCTCCCCCTCCCTTTAATTTCTACTAAAGGAGCAAAGTGAATAGCCACCTGCGAACAACTTGAACTGGAAAGCAAAAGGGGAGGATGTTAAAACCCTTCCCTCACAGCAAGGAGGAGATAAAACAAGGACAAGTTATGGAAAGCTGCAATCCCGGGCCTTGCTCCTTGAATCGGGACTCACACAGGAAGGCCCTTGCACCTCGATGGGGCCCTGTGGAAGTCTGTGTTGATCTGATTCCAGGATCAGAGTCTTATGTCAACTATTCCATAGGGGCTGTGGAGCACCATGTAAACGCGGTGGTGGGGGGAGGCAGAGATTCCACCCCCACACACAGATGGACCCCACTGATCCATGATTCCCTTTCACCCAAACCCTCCAAATCCAAGGGGCATCATGACTTGGCACATAGGGTTGCCGCGCTGCTCAGGTTTACCATGGCCAAAAAGTGACTTGGCCATGGCCTGAGAGACCGCCCCTAGCTCTGCAGCCCACGTTCTTTGGGACAGGGACTATATCTACCTCTGTGTTTGTACAGAGGTCTTGATCATGCTTAGGGCCTATAAGCTGCTACCATCACAATAATGTAATAAAAATAAGAATGATGGTATAAGTGAACTGGCAGTGAGAGTCAGGATGCTTAAGTTCTAATCCTGACTCTGCCAGCAACCAGCCATGTGACTAGGGTTGCCAGGTGTCTGGTACTCTACCGGACAGTCTGGTATTTGTGCTCTTTGTCTGGTTAAAAAAAAAATCAGAATACCAGACTTGTGCAATACCGGGATAAATCATTTTTCTGCGCCTCCTTCCCCTCCCATCCTTTCTTTGTTCTGTCACATTAGACCAGTGTTTCTTAAACTGTGTTCGTTGGTACACTGCTGTGCCATGGAGAACAACAGAGTTCAAAATGGCCACCCTTAAAGGGGCAAGCGACCTTTTTTGCTCAATAACTTTTCCCCCGACCTTTTTTTTTTGCTCAATAAAAGTCCTTGGTGTTCCTCATAAAAAAAAATATTGTTTGGTGTTCCTCGGTCTTAAAAAGTTTAAGAAACACTGCATTAGACTGTAAACTCTTGGGACCCGGACCTTGACTGATCCATTTGTGTCACAAACAATTCTGTGATTTCAGTATTTTCAAACTTACAGGTCAACTGAATTCTGTCCCTGTTGGTCAGTTTCCACTTTGTTTGTGGCCCTAGGGATGAAAACAGAAAAGTAGATCCATGCTTTTAATATTTGAAAACTTTATTTTCTCAAATGAGCACCAACACATATTGTAAATCTGACAAACAGTGCGCCTCCTTCTAATACTGAAGAACTATGTACAATGTACAAAGACACAAAGAGGTGAAGACAAATTATCTAAAAAACAAACAATTGCATTTATTACCGAAGCAATATGACCTGAAAGAATATGCCAACAATAGTTAAATCAAATCAAAGAAATAAAAATCTACACAGTTTGTAAACACAAGAGCATCAATAGACAGGCTGGTATTGGAAATATCGTCTCTTAATTTTGTCAATGGGAAAGCATTCCCATTTCCTTCTGAAAAACAAAACAAAGAACGTGTACAGTTCGTAACCATGAGAATAGCTTATTTGTGATTGTACCTTACAGAACATCATTCTGCTTGCATTTAAAATGTCAATTTTGTTGTTTTTAATATCAAGGGTGATTGTTTCTCCTTCCTGTTTGTTCTTTTAATACAGGATTCTTCCAAATCAGTGTTTAACATGTTTGTTTCTGAATGTTCCATTTATCAGGCTTCTTACCTGGCAAGGAGAGCTCTTATTAGTTAGCTGAGCATTGCATTTCTAATCTGTTTACCCAATGGGCCGCTTGTCCAAGAACTGGTTCATATAGAAACATGATGCTTCTTCCAAAGTGAGGAAGTGCAATGAAATGCATGATTAATTCACTCACATATGAATTAGGAAAATGCATTAAGAGAAAATTCTTAGTTAATCCTCACAAAAAGCCACAGATTTCATTTGTTGGGTTTGTTGGATTTTATTTTAACCTTTAAATATGTGCACCAAAAAGAGAAAATAAAAGAGTGCGCAACAGTTACTCTGCACTGCAAACAGCTCCTCACTCAGCAAAACACAGGCTAATGATTTGTGTTGTTGGTTCACTCTGAGATAACCAAGATGACCAATGAAATAAAAACTAAAGGAAAAAGACAAAGGGGAGAGGAGAAAGAATTGTACTGCCAGAGATGTAAACTTTTATTTTAATTCATTATGTAGCAGCCTGGTTTATTTATATTAAAACAAAATGAAAACCAGGAACCACGTCCAAAAATATTTGCAGAGCGAATCAGAACCACTGCCCCAAGCAACTGGAAATGAAGATTCTGAGGTGGGAACTCAAATTCACATCCACATTCTAAACCTTCACTATTTTATTCTAGTCAATACTGGCGCAAGGAAATATTTCGGGCCCAGTTGCTGCCATCAGATCTACTCAGGCAGATCTATGTACTTACACATAGTCCCACTGACAGTAACAGGACCCATGTGGGAATTAACATCTTCCAGTGTGGATCGAACTGCAAGTCTGGGGTCACAGGAACTGACTGAAGACAATACTGAACCATGTGCATACCCATATGCTTCAAGTTACACACATACTTCAGTACCCTCCTGAATTCAGAACCTCTGTAACCTGGAAACAGCCTATAGAGGAGGTAATTTCTGCTGGATGGAACGAGAGGTTATGCTCCCCTTTTCTGCTTTGTCCACGTGAAAAGTATAGCAACTCAGGAAAACAGCATATATTTATGGTTGTTGTTTCCCTTTAAGCATATTTTCAAACTAAGACAGAGGAAACGGGATCATTTAAAAACAAAACAAAAAAAGTGCTCTCAGGGATGGGTTCTGAGAAAACAGCACCAAATATATTATTTTTTTAAAAAAATTAAATATTATTTACAAAAGCATATTTCACAAGGTAATGCTTATTATGTTCGGTATATATTATCATCTGAATATTTATTATAGGGTCACAATTCCACACAAGATAATCTGCCTGAGCAAAACATTTGAAACCTACCAAAGTTTAGCTTTGGGGTACACTGGGTATGATGTAAACTCAGGGATGCTCAGAATTTGCATTGTCCAAGGCCTTGGTGGTAGCTTGCTAGAAACTAAGTGGGGGGGAGGAAACAGAAAAACGGAGCAAAACTTGCTGTTTTCATCTTTGCTGAGGTTGCCGCCCACAAAGACTACAAATCCCAGTATGCTGTGCTCCATTGTGGGCTGGACATTGCATGCTGGGACATGCTGGCTTTCTGGACTGCAACGCCATTTTGGAAGCGAAGGTCATGCCTTGCAATGTAACTAACTGGGTATAGTTAACTGACTCGACCAATGGGAAGTGGTATGGTTCTTTGGCTGTGTTCTGAATATATTGTTTTGCATCTAATCAACTGATAATTCCCTGATTATAATACCCACCCTCTAGCCTACAGATTTCATCACTGTTTTGTTTTTAATTCCCAACACTATCATATGTCTTAATACAGCAGGTCGCAGATGAGTTAACAGTGGACCTTACATCATAAGAAGCACTTTAGGTTTAGCTGACACATAATGGAGGACAAATAGTAAAAGAGTCTAGCAGGCTATTTTTACTTTTCTCTTTATACAGTGTCTAAAAATCAACCTATAGTCAACTCTCTGTGTGTATGTGCACACGTGCACATTTTCCATGCCAGGATTTAAGAGTCCGGGCCCAGATCCTGAATGATTTAAAACGGTGTAGCACCATGGAAGCCAGGCCGATTTACATTAATTGAGGATCTGGCCACAAGTATTCATATGTACATTAGTCGCCATAAAAAATTCAATTTATGTAAATTGTTACTGCATGGTGCCGTCTGAGACATTACTTTTTGTTTTAAATACACAAAGAATAAAAATGGTCGCATCTGACAACTTGGTGGTAACTACCCTTATGTTTATGACTTACAGATTATTGTACTACACTAATCTCGCAAAAATTGTAATTTACAGTGGTGATGGTACAGGATTTGAGACTGAATACAGGAGGGTTATTACAGAAGTCTTGGTTTTTTATTGACGATCACTGTAGTGTATAAAGTTATACTCACTCATGGAGCACTAGCAGAACCTAGGTATGGCTCTGTATCCCCCTTCCCATCTGCACACAATCTGTTGTGGGCTATCCCTTACTTCTCCCATTTCC